GTATATACATGGTAAGCTTTTGTTATATCAGAGTGTTTATACGTTCTCATCACACAATTAACCACGATACCGTGATGTTTGATATAATTCAACAATTTCGTGTACGCACTGCTGTATATTGATAACATATTATCAGTATATACGAGGTAACTAATATGTTACAAATCCTAACCAATCCAACCCATCTTAACCGATGGGAAACGTTTGGGACACCGTTCATATAGTGAACGGGCTCGGTTAATCAATTCACGAACAAGTGAACGTATGTAGTGGAAACCCACCTTTATGGTTTACCTTACTCGCCAGCCACGGTCAACCACGATATTAGTTATCGATGAACACATTCTAAAGCGGAAAAAGATTTGCAGTACAAACGGCAAAATTTGAAACTTTGAAATGGTTGAAATTCGTAAGCGCTTGGTGAGGTAGGTGATGGGGTAAAAATTTTCATTGAACCAGAGACAACTAGAGAACTAGAAGGTGCTTAATACCTACCACTATGCTACGACAACCAATTTCTAAATGATTGTATTATTGAGTTATATATAACATAAAATATTAATATTCACAAATTCACAATGTATCTATACACTATAAATTTAAAGTGTTATAACTTTTATACTAATAATTTCCACCAATTTATTTTTGTTCCATATCGTTTTTAACTCTTCAAAATACCCTTCTTGAAAAAAATGGTAAGTTGGTAAAGTAGACTTATACCTAAACATTGTCAATGAAGGAGGGCTATAGACACTTTGGCCCACCTCTGAATGGGGGATATCCTTCGGACTCGTACTATTATCGAACGCCTATACAACTGTTATTTAGATTTTAGAATTTTGCACTTTTGCACTTCATAATGTTTTGTACTAATGGGTAAAAGGAAGCCATTAATAAATTAATTACCTAAAAAAAACGTTGATGATAAATAGTTGCGTGCTTTTCTTTAATAATTTTAAAGCTTGTTAACAGCCATTACTTTTTACTAATTGTATTCAGATAGTAAAAATATATCGAAAGTAAACGGGATTTATATTTACCGTTGGCTCCTCATGAAAGTTTTTGAATTTTAACTACATTATAGAAATCTAAAGTTATTTGTAGCTCCGTCAGCCTGGCACCCCGAAATTGAAATTTCGTACTTTTTTTTTTTTAGATAATTAGTAACCAATTTGTAACAATTTGTAACGCAAGATTTGGAATTTGTAACACAAAATTTCACCCTTAAATCGACGTTCCAGTGTTAGGGGTGCTGAGCTGACGTCAGCCCAGCGCCCGAAATTGAAATTTCACACTTTTTTTTGTTTAGAAAATTAGTAAACAATTTGTAACAATTTGTAACGCAAGATTTGGAATTTGTAACACAAAATTTCACCCTTAAATCGACGTTCCAGTGTTAGGGGTGCTAAGCTGACGTCAGCCCAGCGCCCGAAATTGAAATTTCACACTTTTTTTTTTGTTTAGAAAATTAGTAAACAATTTGTAACAATTTGTAACGCAAGATTTGGAATTTGTAACACAAAATTTCACCCTTAAATCGACGTTCCAGTGTTAGGGGTGCTGAGCTGACGTCGTTAAAAGTCAAATTTCACACTTTCTTTTGTTTAGAAAATTAGTAAACAATTTGTAATAATTTGAAACGCAAGATTTGGAATTTGTAAAATAAATTGTATCCCTTGAATTGACGGTCCAGTGTTAGGGGTGTTGGGTTGACTCCGAAAGTTAAATTTCATACTTTTACACTGAAGATTTATTCCATGGTATTGTTTTGCGAAAAGTGGAATTTCCTACCTAAAAGTAAAATTATGTAATTATTTCTTAATTATTTTTTAATTTGTGTTGTATTTTACTATTTTTATAAAAATAGAGATAACCTATGTTACTTTTGATTTTTGAACAAGTTTTAAATGTTTAATAATTAAATAATATACTATTTATTGCAAGGTAAGTATTTTAATTTATTATTTGTAGTATTATTTATATAATTCTAAACTATCATGATTATAGGAACCTACTGGGTATTTAATATTTATTATGTTTTATTGACAAAAGCTTATTATTTTAATTTTTAATGCCTATTGATTTAAATACCTATGTGAATGTGAGTAATGACTAATGAGTTAACTATGATTTCAAATAATCATATTTTGTTAATCAAGCCATGTTATCATGAACTTGAGGTTAAATAATTAATATGTCCTTGTTTTACCAAGATACTACCACGATTTAAGGTTTAATATTTTATGTATTTATACAACATGGTGTATTTATCAGGTGTACACATTCTCATTCGTCATCAATTGATAGAATGAACGAAAATATTACAAAAACTACCTTAGTATTAAAGACACTTTTTGGAGTTGTTTTTTTTTTTTAGATAATTAGAAACCAATTTGTAATAAGTTGTAACTCAAGATTTGGTATTTGTAATACAAAATGTCACCCTAAATTGATGGTTAGGTTTACACTTTATTAACAATTAGGGCCCTTGTCGTTTTTGGTAAAGGGTCCGGGGGGCCCAGACACCCCCTGTGCGCACGCCTATGAAGTGTATGATTTAACTCTAAAGTATCAAAGTTATACCATGTTTGTCGTTTTTACTTCATTCCACCTATGGTGGATTAATATAATCCATTAATACAAAATCCTAACATATAACTTATTGCCTAACCATACTAAAATCCGATGAATAAAATAAAAACAAATTTAACCCCTTTTTAAATTAGCTTATCTTCTACACACAAACATTAATTTATATATATATATATATTTAATATATTATAATATATTATACTGACAAAAAATAATAATACAATTATACAAATCAACATGCCCGATTAACCAATATATAATACACTATTATTATTTTAATCTACAATAATAAACAATTTTTTTAAGCTATTGCATAGCTTTTATCGCAGGTCTGGTGTAGTGACTGAAAAAAAATTTTTCGTAACGAAAAAGCGTGACCACTTTGTTTATTTATACATACTATAGCAACCTGGTGACCATAGCAACGCATAGCTAAATTATAATTTAATTTTGATAACAGATATTTATTTTTAAATAACAACGACTATGAACATCAAGCGCTTATAAATATAATGGTTTTGTTATGGGTTGCTATAGCAATAAATTTATATATATAAATATATAATATATAATAATATATTATTAATTTTATATATTTATAATAATATATATAAAATATAATATATTATAGCAATAAAAACATAAACTATAGTTTCTATGATACAAATTCCTAAATAAATAGAATAATAAAAAAATTTAAAATTATATCAACTTCTTATTTATTTAATATGCAATAGCTTTATCGCGGCAGTCCCCGAATGCCACTTTTAATATTTTTATTATTTAGTTTATTTTCTTTTGGACAAATGACGCCACTGTTGTATATTTGACGTTTCCTGTTTTTCCGGTGGATTTTCCTAAAATTGTCTTTCATAAGAACCATGTCCTGACAATTACAAACACAACAAAAAAAGAATGAGCCAAATCGGGCCAGTTTTCCTCAATGGATGATTTAAAATACATTTTAACACTATTTTATATATATTATATTACAATATTTTACGTTACTGTTAAAGTGTCAACATCATTTGTACAATATTATGAAATATTATACTTAAAAAAAATAAAGAAATACAACATATTGAACTCAAACATAAATTAGTTTACAATGTATAAAATAAAAGTTCTATGTTTACCATGGTGTTTGGTTTACATATTTTCATTTTCTCTTTGGTATCATCATAACACTCCCATGTCCTATTTGATCTGTAGCAGTATGCAATGTAATGACCAACCGGATTTCTTAGGTTGAATTTGTTTGAATCATTAAAAGCCACTATGCCACGTAAATAAAATGTTATACCTTGAATTTTTAATAGTTTTGGAACGTCATCAAGTTTCCAGATAACCAACCCAGCATAGTCAACTGATCGTTCAAAATCTATAAATAATATATTTTTTCTGTGAATTAAATACCTTATTACCACTTTTAATTTACTAATATTAATTAATATGTAATTAATATTTATATTATTACCTTTAGGTATTGATACTAGTTCCACAACAATATGTTTCATTAGTTTGAATTTTACTAATCTGTCACAATTACAATTGATTGCAACACAATCAATAGTTAAGGGCAAAAAATATTTGTTTATTTCTTCAGGTAAATTAATATTTCCATCAATGGCATTTAAACAAATTACAATTCTCTCGTTTGTATATTCCGGTTCAAAACACAAACTATTTGTACAACAGTTTACACTTATATATGAAGGCATATTTTCCAACAACTTTTCACATGCTGAAGCTGCTGTATCCACAGTGTCAATCAATTTTATGTTACCAAGCAAATCTTCTGATGTTGTTATGTAAGTGAGAGCCAATAAATAAACTCGTTCCACATATAATTCTTTATAATTTTTGTTATCTAACATCTGTAATATAAATTTAGCTGTGCTGTTTTTTTTTTGGTCTTCAGATAAATACGTATGATATAAACTACTTTCTGCAGCAGACACTGCTAAAGTTGATAATATTGAGTCTGCAGAACAAGTATTACTGAGTAACACTTTTTCGAAACCATGTACAAATATCGGCTTATTTTTAAAAGTGGAACCATTTTTAATAAAAGCGATTTCAATTATAGAACCTTTTTTATTTAAATCGACGTTTTCGAACCCTGGCTGTTTCTCTAAATATGATTTAGCGGAACGCTTCTTTTCTAACGACTTTCCTTTATTCTTCCAATTCTCTATTGAATTATTTTCGTTACATAATTCACTCATTTCATAGCAACTTAAACAAATTCTAGTTTCACCGCATCCTTCTTCACTGTGAGGGTTTTGAACGGAACATCCAAATAAATGTATTGCCTTTTTACATAAACAACAACGATGGAGTCCAGTTGGAAAATGCCCATTTTTACATGGATCGCATGAATTTAAATATTTGTCAATTTCTTTTTCCTATTTGTCATTTGAAGAAGATAGTGTAAAGGACCTATTGTCTTCCGAAATAATTTCTTGTGTTGTTTCATGGTTTGTTGTTTGTATTATTAATTGATCTCCCCTATAGTAGTCGACCAATTTACCAACAAAGTCATCAATTCTGACAGGCATGTTTTCATTGTTGAAGACTCTAGTTTTAATGTTATTAAAATTGGATTCACTTCTGCTACTTGTAGCTATATCCTCACCATATCCAAATACATTTAGCATTATGCTTGACCAACAAGGGAAAAGTTTCATTATGTTTATTATGAGTGGAACAATGTCTGGAGTGTACTGAGCATTGTCGAATTCACCTTCTATTCCACTGATTTGTGCTTCACATTTTGTACTAACTGATTTTGCCCAGTCACGAAATGAATTAGATAAATCAAAATTTTGTAAATCAGTTTCCAATGAATCATCTCCCTCGAAATGTTGTTCTTCTGTTTCATCATCAAACAAAACTATATTCTGACTTGTACTTATCAATGATTGTAGATATTTTTTGCTTTTCGCGCATGGCGTATCCCGTTTCGCTACTATTCGTTTAGTGTTTGAAACAATGGCGCCATCGTATTTACTTAAAGCAATCACAAATATTGCTTCTAATATCGGGTTTGCGTCTTCAATTGATCTACAATAAACTAAAAGTCCCATCGCTCTACCAAATAATTGTTTCGTACGTTTAAATTTAGAAAGTTTTAACGGTTTCCACTGGGTTACAAGGTGTATAAAATGATTAATGTCATTTCGTATATAACACAATGGAATTTCAACATTTTTTCCTCCGTGAACTATAGAAAAACATGCTTTTAGATACTTTTCTAAAGAATTATACTGGGTAAATGCTTGAACAGTGGCTGACATTAATGCTATTGACTGATCACTTACAGATATTTTTGGAGGTTTTATATTACACTGGAGCCATCGTTTAAGCCACAAAGCGATTGATACATTATCGTGTTGCTCCGACAACATCGATAAGGCTGTAAAACTATGGTCGTTTACTTTCATAACACCTTCATATAAAAATATCGATCCAGGGACTGGAGCCTTTTGAATTTATGGGTTCCGCCCGTCCCGGTACCGCTTCTCCAAAAATAAAATAACGGTTCCGGTTTGGTTTTGGATCTTTTATGAAAAAAAATAAAGTTACAGGTTCCAAATAATTTCGGTTCCAGTTCCAGATAATTTCGGTACCAAAAAATATAAAAATTTTAAATACCTATCCAGAATACAGGTTTAATTAATAGTACTTGTGAGAAATATTAGAAAACACATAACATGATCATACATAGATTATACACAAAACAGTAATACCTTTAAAATTATGATAGATAAAATTATTTTATTTTTGAACCTAAAAGTACCTTTTTAATTTAAAATGTACGGTTCGGTTCCGGTACTTTTATATTAAAATAAAGATTTCCGTTCCAATCCCTGAATTATTATTAGATAATTCAACGTCAGCAAGTTAAACTTAGTTCTGTAGGTATAATTTTCATGTACCTATCTCAGTTATTCGTTTTTGAATTATTACAACAAAAATAATAAAATCACGGTAGAAAAACTTATGAGTAATCTTGTACTAATCTAATATTAATTAATTAATTAATCTAGTATTCTTGTTTTTAGTTTCAAATAATAAATTCTTTATTTACACTAACATTTTTGGAATAATTTAAAATTTTTAAATATTAATTGAATCAAATGAATAAATTATTTTATATTATTTTCGATAATATGTGTTCGGTTTTGATAACTGTACATAGGTACGTTTTATTTTACAACTCTACATGACAACATCTAATATTATATATTTATAATATAGTTATATTCTACTGAATATAATTATTATATTTTATGTAAGACCTAAAATCGAATAAATAAATCCTTAAGACTTACCACTCAAAATAAAATTATCTGTTTAACTGGTCAAAAACGAATTTGTGCTGATGTGCTGTATTATAACGGACACGAAAGGATACGGTCACTACTAAGAAAGTTTCGCAGTCTTTAAAACGAGACGGCTGAGTGTTGAAGGTCTAGCCCACAAAAACACTATTTTACAGGAGACAATTAGAACAAGATATTTACCAACATAATCGTTTTGTATCTAAATTCTTTAATATTTTTTTTATTATGTGACATCTGGATAATCAATAATCAGAATTGAAAGTTGGTAATAGTTGTTTGAAATTATAAAAATATTTAAATGGAGACGTACTATTTAACGTAATATTATTATTTACTAACAAGAATCTATAGAATATAATTTAATCATTATTACACACATCAGTCAATATAATATTATTATTTTTAACTTATCGCATTTGTAGTAGTGTAGTAAATAGTAATAGTAATAGTAATAGTAATACTACGTGTCTAGTGTCTACGTAGTAAAATATAGTATTACGTAGACTATTTATATACTTATATAAATGTTTCGCACTCTCGCTGAGCGATAAGAAAATAGTAAAATACAGACAAGGGAGGGAAAGATGTTTTTTTTTAAATTTTTTTTTTATAATCTTTATATTTTGTTTTTTATTTATAATTGTGTCTGGATATTTATATATACCTACATATATTATGCGTTAGTAAGACGAAGACAACACATGTGGGTACGATGTTTTCTTTAAATAATAATTATTTAATTTTGGTACTTCCATGTATTTCCATGTACTTCCGCGGAATTCCGTGTAATTCAATGTACTTCCAAAGTATTTCCTAATAATATTTGTACACCTACTTCCGCTTGTGGTTTACCCCCCCCCCCCCCTATTGTTATTAACTAATACTGAATGTATTGTACATTATTATTTATTATTTGGCCCGTGACTAAATAAAAGTTTACCGTGGTCCAGACGAATTGTCTGGTATGGATTGAAGTGATAACCAAACACTTTATGGATGTCACAAATTATGTATTATATTACGACCAAATAATAATACATGTGCCTCTCGGGCGATGAGTTTAACGTCGGACGATATGCTATCGGTCTGATGGTCCGATGATCGATTCTGCGACCGGCCTTTTCCGCCGACCGTTGTACGTCTTGTCGTTGTTACGCGAAACAGTCCCCCGTCCCACCATGCCATGATCGGCTCGGTGGAGAGTCGACTCTCCGGTCGTGCTGCTTGCGTCCCGTAGTAGTGGTTGGAGATAAGATAGACAGGCCGCTATAGTGCTTGTACATTGTACTTGCTAATATTGCGGGTCGTGTCAGGCTGATCTGAGTAACGAGTAACATAGGTGCTAAGTTCTGTATATCAGAATATATAGAATAAAATATTATAAAAACAGTGAATACTATTTTACACTGGGTGGTGTAATCTATAGTAATTATTACATACCATAAAATAACATACAATGTACAAAATGCTGTGTAGTGTATTTTTTTAAAAATACTTAATGCAAAGAATATTTTGTTACTAAAATTCAATAAGCATTTCTTTAATAAATAAACTAAATAAAATGAGATTATATATAATATAATATAATTTACTTACCCGTTCCAGAGTAGATTAACGATGAATAAAGTGCCGTTGACAATATATATATACCGTAGGTAGAATATTAAGCTAACATGGAATTTCAAAATGTCATTCATTAAGTGTATAAAATATAAAAGTAAACAATAAATATTACAAATATTAAGGAATTAGGTTAGGATTTTGTATTAATTGATTATATTAATCCACCGTAGGTTGAATTAAGTAAAAACAACGAACATGGTATAACTTTGACACTTTAGACAGTTTAGAGTTAAATCATACACTTACGTACAAACAACAGGGGGTAGATTCAGGGATTTCTTACCTGATAATATACTGCTGCGAACCAGATTTTATATTCCGGGTAACGGAAAAGTTAAGATTATAACGAATTGAAAAAAGTTTGAGTCAAATAGAGTTGGTAGATTTAACGGACAACGAAGTGGACGGGATCGGCAGGACATACAACTTAAAAAAAGTGTTTTTAATACTAAGGTAGTTTGTGTAATATTTTCATTCATTCTATCATTTGATGACAAATGAGAATGTGTACACCTAATAAATACACCATATTTTATAAATACATAAAATATTAAACCTTAAATCGTGGTAGTATCTTGGTAAAACAAGGACATATTAATTATTTAACCTCAAGTTCGTAATAACATGGCTTGATTAACAAAATATAATTATTTGAAATCATAGTTACCTCATTACTCACATTCACATACCTAGGTATTTAAATTAATAGGCATTAAAAATTAAAATGATAAGCTTTTGTCAATAAAACATAATAAATATTAAATACCCAGTAGGTTCCTATAATCATGATAGTTTAGAATTATATAAATAATACTACAAATAATAAATTAAAATACTTACCTTGCAATAAATAGTATATTATTTAATTATTAAACATTTAAAACTTGTTCAAAAATCAAAAGTAACATAGGTTATCTCTATTTTTATAAAAATAGTAAAATACAACACAAATTAAAAAATAATTAAGAAATAATTACATAATTTTACTTTTAGGTAGGAAATTCCACTTTTCGCAAAACAATACCATAGAATAAATCTTCAGTGTAAAAGTATGAAATTTAACTTTCGGAGTCAACCCAACACCCCTAACACTGGACCGTCAATTCAAGGGATGCAATTTATTTTACAAATTCCAAATCTTGCGTTTCAAATTATTACAAATTGTTTACTAATTTTCTAAACAAAAGAAAGTGTGAAATTTGACTTTTAACGACGTCAGCTCAGCACCCCTAACACTGGAACGTCGATTTAAGGGTGAAATTTTGTGTTACAAATTCCAAATCTTGCGTTACAAATTGTTACAAATTGTTTACTAATTTTCTAAACAAAAAAAAGTGTGAAATTTCAATTTCGGGCGCTGGGCTGACGTCAGCTTAGCACCCCTAACACTGGAACGTCGATTTAAGGGTGAAATTTTGTGTTACAAATTCCAAATCTTGCGTTACAAATTGTTACAAATTGGTTACTAATTTTCTAAACAAAAAAAAGTGTGAAATTTCAATTTCGGGCGCTGGGCTGACGTCAGCTTAGCACCCCTAACACTGGAACGTCGATTTAAGGGTGAAATTTTGTGTTACAAATTCCAAATCTTGCGTTACAAATTGTTACAAATTGGTTACTAATTTTCTAAACAAAAAAAAGTGTGAAATTTCAATTTCGGGCGCTGGGCTGACGTCAGCTCAGCACCCCTAACACTGGAACGTCGATTTAAGGGTGAAATTTTGTGTTACAAATTCCAAATCTTGCGTTACAAATTGTTACAAATTGTTTACTAATTTTCTAAACAAAAAAAAGTGTGAAATTTCAATTTCGGGCGCTGGGCTGACGTCAGTTTAGCACCCCTAACACTGGAACGTCGATTTAAGGGTGAAATTTTGTGTTACAAATTCCAAATCTTGCGTTACAAATTGTTACAAATTGGTTACTAATTATTTAAAAAAAAAAAAGTACGAAATTTCAATTTCGGGGTGCCAGGCTGATGCACCTGTTATTTGTTAACAAAATAGATAATTATTTAGGTTGTCATTAATTTTATCCAATAAGTAATTATAGTATTTAACCCAAATATTATATATATATTAAAAATAGGTACCTAATTATTAAACTATGTACTTATACTCTCAAATGAGTGGTTAAGTGTTCATTTTTTATGGATACACTAGCTGAATAGAGGTTTAAAATAATTGTTCATTGTAAGGTATTAAATAAGTAGTCAAAAGTATTTTTATTGTCAGGTTAATTATGTAACCCTTTTATGATGTTAATGCCTAAAAGCAAAATTATTCATTGGTCATCACCAATTTTGTGTTATGTTTAACATTACCAAATGATTTTATTATTCTACGCCTTCATTATTCTACCCATTCAATGATAAAATGTTTTTATGGTGAAAAATTATAATTCATGGACAAAATACATAACTTTAATTGCGTATAACCTATTAAATTTAAAAAAAAAGGTTTTATTTCTTAACG